ATATATAATATTATATATATATATAATATTATATATAATATATATTATATATATATATATATATATATATATATAATATTATATAATATATATATTATATATTATATATATATATATATATATATAATATATATATATATAATATATATATATATAATATATATATATATATATATATAATATTATATATATATATATATTTATATTATTCTAGGTAGTAGGTTGGTAGACAGCAACCGCCCAGGGAGGTACTACCGTCCTGCCAAGTGAGTGTAAAACTGAAGCCTTAATTGTTTTACACGATGGTAAGATTGCTGGTATCTTTTTTTACTGTCTCATACACATGCAAGATTTCAGGTATGTCTTGCTACTTCTACTTACACTTAGGTCACACTACACATACATGTACAGCATATATATACACACACCCTTTGGTTTTCTTCTATTTTCTTTCTAGTTCTTGTTCTTGTTTATTTCCTCTTACCTCCATGGGGAAGTGGAACAGAATTCTTCCTCTGTAAGCCATGCGTGTTGTAAGAGGCGACTAAAATGCCGGGAGCAAGGAGCTAGTAACCTCTTCTCCTGTATATATTACTAAATGTAAAAGGAGAAACTTTTGTTTTTCCTATTGGGCCACCCCGCCTCGGTGGGAAAACGGCCGGTGTGTTGAAAGAAAGAAAGATATTATATATATATATATATATATATATATATATATATATATATATATATATATATATATATATAATATATATATAATATATATATATAGTATATATCTTTCTTTCAACACACTGGCCGTATCCCACCGAGGTGGGGTGGCCCAAAAGGAAAAACGAAAGTTTCTCCTTTCAAATTTAGTAATATATACAGGAGAAGGGGTTACTAGCCCCTTGCTCCCAGCATTTTAGTTGCCTCTTACAACACACATGGCTTATGGAGGAAGAATTCTGTTCCACTTCCCCATGGAGGTAAGAGGAAATAAACAGAACTAGAAAAAAAATAGAAGAAAACCCAATGGGGTGTGTATATATATGCTTGTACATGTATGTGTAGTGTGACCTAAGTGTAGGTAGAAGTAGCAAGACGTACCTGAAATCTTGCTTGTGTATGAGACAGAAAAAAAAAAAAAGACCAGCAATCCTACCATCATGTAAAACAATTACAGGCTTTCGTTTTACACTCACATGGCAGGACAGTAGTACCTCCCTGGGTGGTTGCTGTCTACCAACCTACTACCTAGGAGTTGCAAATTGCAGTTGCAAGCACTAAAAAGAATGGAATTGTAATACAAAATGTATTGTATGAACATGTGGGATTGTCCTCATTGGCTGATAAACAATGGCACACTGGCTGCAAATGGTGTGTTGGCACACAGACACGGTCAGGATGAATGACCATTACCGAGTTCAATGACGATCACTGAGCCAATATTCTGACGATAAAAAGTTACTTATTCCGAATACTACAGTGGACCCCCGCATAGCGACCTTAATCCGTGGAAGAGGGCTGGTTGTTATGCGAAATGTTCGGTATGCGAATGAATTTTCCCCATAAGAAATAATGGAAATCAAATTAATCCGTGCAAGACACCCAAAAGTATGAAAAAAAAAAATTTTTACCACATGAAATGTTAATTTTAATACACACAAACTGAAAAAGGCATGCACAATTACATGACACTTACTTTTATTGAAGATCTGGTGATGATTGATAGGATGGGAGGAGGGGAGAGAGAGTGTTAGTGTTTAGAAGGGGAATCCCCTTCCATTAAGACTTGAAGTGTCGAGTCCTTTTCTGGGGTTACTTCCCTTTCTTCTTTTAATGCCACTAGGACCAGCTTCAGAGTCCACTGGACTTCTGTCGCACAACATATCTGTCCATAGTGGCCTGTACCTCTCGTTCCTTTATGACTTCCCTAAAGTGTTTCACAACACTGTCAGTGTAATAATCACCAGCACGGCTTGCAATAGCTGTGTGAGGGTGATTTTCATCCATGAAGGTTTGCACTTCAAGCCACTTTGCACAGATTTCCTTAATCTTTGTAGTAGGCAACTTCTTCAATTTCTCTCTCCCCTCCTCTGAACCAGTTTCCTCAGGTCTGGCCTCTTGCTGTTGAAGTTGATCTATCAGCTCATCAGTGGTTAGTTCTTCATTGTCCTCCTCCACCAACTCTTCCACATCATCCCCACTAACCTCCAACCCTAAGGACTTTCCCAATGCCACAATGGATTCCTCAACTGGCATAATCCTCTCCGGGTTAGCCTCAAACCCTTCAAAATCCCTTTTGTCTACACATTCTGGCCACAGTTTCTTCCAAGCGGAGTTCAAGGTCTTCTTAGTCACCTCCCTCCCAAGCCTTACCTATAAGGTTTACACAATTGAGGATATTAAAGTGCTCTCTCCAAAACTCTCTTAGAGTCAGTTGATTTCTGAGGTCACTACAAAGCACCTTTCAAACAGAGCTTTGTGTACAGTTTCTTGAAGTTTGCAATAACCTGCTGGTCCATGGGCTGCAGGAGAGGAGTGGTATTAGGAGGCAAAAACTTCACCTTAATGAATTTCATGTCCCCATAAGTCGCTCTGCCATGTCTGTAGGATGACCAGGGCATTGTCTAACACCAGGAGCACTAAGTTCTAATTCTTTCAGTAAGGTAATCTTTCACATTGGGGGCAAATGCATGGTGTAACCAGTCATAGAAAAAGTCCCTAGTGACCCATGCCTTACTGTTTGCCCTCCACAGCACACACAAATTCTCCTTGAGGACATTCTTTTGCCTGAACGGTCTGGGAGTTTCTGAGTGATACACTAATAAAGGCTTCACTTGCAATCACCAGTAGCATTGGAACACATCAACAAAGTAAGCCTGTCTTTCATAGGCTTATGTCCTGGGAGTGCCTTTTCCTCCTGAGTAATGTAGGTCCCGCTTGGCATTTTCTCTTCCAAAACAGGCCTGTTTCAATCACAATTAAACACTTGTTCAGGTTTCAGTCCTTCACTTTCTATGTACTCCTTGAATTCCTGCACATATTTTTCAGCTGCTTTGTGGTCCGAACTGGCAGCCTCACCATGCCTTATCACACTATGTATGCCACTACGCTTCTTAAATCTCTCAAACCAACCTTTGCTGGCCTTAAATTCACTCACATCATCACTAGTTGCAGGCATTTTTTTAATTAAATCCTGATGCAACTTCCTAACCTTTTCGCTTATGATCGCTTGAGAGACGCTATCTCCTGCTAGCTGTTTTTCATTTATCCACACCAATAAGAGTCTCTCAACATCTTCCATCACTTGCGATCTCTGTTTCGAAAACACAGTTAAACCTTTGGCAAGAACAGCTTCCTTGATTGCCTTTCTGTTGCCCACAATAGTAGAGATGGTTGATTTGGGTTTCTTGTACAACCTGACCAGGTCGGCGACACGCACTTCACTTTCATACTTATCAATGATCTCTTTCTTCATCTCTATTGGAATTCTCACCCATATTGCTGTAGGGTTGGAACTAGAAGCTTTCTTGGGGCCCATGGTCACTTATTTTCCAGATAAAGCACCGAAAACACTGTAATAATACAAAATATTCCGATTGTATGCTTGGATGTTACCACGGAGGCTGGCTGGTAAACAATGCCACCGGCGGAACATATGAGGTTGGCTCAGGCCGCACATTGGACGCGTCTCGGACGAAGGGCGGTGAGCGGGTTTTGGGGCGGTATGCGAGGCAAAATTTTTGCGATCAAAGCGACCGGTATGCGGATTGTACGGTATGCGATGCGTACGGTATGCGGGGGTCCACTGTATTATGAAATCCGATGACTATGTAATCCGGGGGTCCACTGTACTTCCCATTTCCAAGACTCAAGTCCGGCTAAGCGGTTTGCCTGAATACCATCACTAACCCTTTGAGGGTCGAGAGGCCCTCTCCCAAACTCGTTCTCAGGGTAGAAAATTCTGCTGTATTACTTGACCCCCACCCCAAAAACAAAAAATGAATGGTTTAAATCAAGATTCATAGCATTTGCCTTGAAAATAAAATATATATTGTAATACGTACTGATTTTCAGTACTGGAATAAGGTTGTTACAGTACTTCTCAAAATGCATAATTGAACCTCATAATTCGTGAGGTTAGGTTCCCAGAAATGAAGCGAATAAGGAAGCCTCAGACGGCAGGCACCAAGCGAAAAATAGACAAAGGAGTCAAGAAAAACCATAATTTGCAGGGAGTAAGTGCTAAAACCATTGAGGTCACACAGCGCATGAGAAAAGTAAAGCAATTATGTTCAATCTGAAAAAGGGAAGGATAGGTTCACTTCCATAACTTGAGACCCCTTCATCGCCATCCAGAAACTTTCCTTGACATGTTGCAAGAGATGATTTTAATAAGTAAACTTAGGATAGGATTCATGCACTAAACAAAAGGACATAAGGAATGAAAAAACCATGAATACAAATTATGGGGTTCAACCATGTATAATATTGCATTACCAAAGTGTTCTAACTTCACTGGCCAAGATAACAATGCAACTACTGTACTGTATTTCAAAGCAATAATCCAACCTTCAAATTCAAGCAAAAGCACATTGAAAAAAAAGCTTGTCATCACTTGGATCAATGATCTACAGATGATGAAGGATGAAGCCACTTACAAAATAAGACATTATTAGATAGGTATGTAAGAGATTGCAATGTTGCATATGAACTTTTTTTAATAAATGTACAGTACATATAGAGCAATAATAAACATGTATACATCAAATTTTAGGAGTAAGCTACTAATAGGAACAAATCCACTTGGTCAAAATATGAACTCCAATTCTAAATTTGTACAATAGTTCCATAATTATTATAGTATGACAGTCATGGGTAAGTGCTATACCCATAGGGGGCCATACAGTGCCTTGAGAATTTGAGGCAATCAAGGAGAATTTCAAAATGCTTTGTACTTCGATTCCTAAGGATACCAAGACTAATTTTGTTTTTTCTTTATTTTGTCCTACCTGTTGAAAAGTCCACGTCTCATCTTCAAAGTAAAATGCCACTTTGTTTCTGTTTTTCCGCACAACCTCTTGGAAAATTTTTGGTACACTAAGGTTGTTTTTCTTAGCATGGTGAATCCTCATCAACAACTTGAGGTAGCGGTACAAGCCCCTGTGGAAGGATTATTAATTAAAAAACCTATTTTAAAAAAATTCACTTTCAGAAGGATAGCATAAGTGTATTAAGATGTATATGCAATAAATGATATCTTATCAGTCCAAATTTAATTTGATTACTGTTAACTGTGTTAACAGTAATCAAATCCTACAACAGAAGGGGCTCGAACCTATGGTAAGCGAGTCCTTAAACACAACAGTCATGCTAGTGTGAGATTCATCTGAAAAAACCTGCATTTGTAGTCAAAGTGGCCCATGCTAACCTCCCTATGGTGGGTAGAAATATGCCTAGCTATATAAATGTTGTTAGACCAGTATGGTCCACTAGATAGCACACTGGCCCAAGAGTTTTAGAACTCACCTGCCAAGGTTCAAGTCCTACCCACTCTGTGATTAGTTTATAGTCATGTTATTATGATTTTGCGAATGCTAAGATTATACGGTATGAAAGTTAATTTTTGTAAAAATATTACAATCACAGATGTAGTATATATAGTTAATGCTTATTACATGTAATAAATTTTACAAAGCCCACGTTATAATATTATAATATCTAAAACTCAACTGATACACTAACCACAACAATAGCTTTCTACCAACCTATATAACATCCTCTTATCATACATCACAGTGCTAGACAAACTCTCAAAACTTGACTTACCTCATGTCTCTAGGTATTGTACCAATACGAATCTGCTGTAGCCTTAGGAACTGTAAGCACCCCTCTCTCATCCCAGTGGATGGAGGAGTGGCTTTGCTATCCACATACTCTTCATTAGTTTCTGTCTGTTCATCTTGGATTATTGGATCACGCATTACCATTGTCTAAATTTAGTGATAAGAACAGTACTGCATATAGTTCTTTTTATGCCTGCTGTGTTAGAAATGCAACGCTTACTTTCACATGACAGATATTAACAAACTATCCATATAGGTAAGCACTTTTTTCTTTGAGAATACATAGCATTTCATGTGTTGCCACATGTTAACAAGTAACTGGCAGTTTTTATCAATGAGAGCTACTATTTAATATTGGCTGGTAAGCCTGGTTAAATACAGTGAAGGTGCAGAATGGTCTAGTAAATGTGGTACTTGATGATAATGGCTTATATTAAGACCTGGTCATGACATTGATAGCAAAGACATGACAGTAAAATGCAAAATGAAGACAAGAGGTATGAGGCCCAGATGAAGAGCAATATAGGCTGAAGTGTAGTGACATGAATAGTGGCCCAAATCCAGTCATACCCAGTGATCTGTATACTGCATACATATTATTATTACTATTATTATTATATTCATGGGTAAGCACTAAGCCAATTGGGGTCATACAGCACCTTAGGAATCTGAAGTAATCAGGTTTCACCCAAAGGAAGGGAAGCTTCAATTCCTTGGATTAAGAGCCCTTTACCAGTAACAAGATTTATTATTATTATTAACACACTGGCCGATTCCCACCAAGGCAGGGTGGCCCGAAAAAGAAAAACTTTCACCATCATTCACTCCATCACTGTCTTGCCAGAAGGGTGCTTTACACTACAGTTTTTAAACGGCAACATTAACACCCCTCCTTCAGAGTGCAGGCACGTATTTCCCACCCCGGGACTAAAAGCCCGGCCTCCGTTTCCCCTAAAAATCCCTTCATAAATGTTACTTTGCTCACCCCAACAGCCGTCAAGTATTTAAAAACCTTTGTCCCTTTCACCCCTATCAAACCCCTTCAGCAGCCCGCGGGAACCCAAGCCCTCGCACAAAAACCCCCTCCTTTACCCCCTCCCCCCCAACTTTCCTAGGCCGACCCTACCCCCCCCTTCCTTCCACTACAGACGATACCCCTTTTGAAGTCATTCTGTTCGCTCCATTCTCTCTACATGCCCAAACCCCACCTCAACAACCCTTCCTACCCTCTGGACAACAGTTTTGGTAATCCCGACCCCCTCCAAACTTCCAAACACAATTCTTTTGCGTTAAAATCACACCACCTTTTGCCCTCAACATACTTCCACTGCCTCCAGCCTTCCCTCGCTGAAATATCACCCCCCATGCTTCAACCATACATTAGCGTTGGTAAAACAAATTCTTTACATTCCCCTTTGCTTCCAAGGACAAAGTTTTTGTCTCCACAACCCCTAAGTGCACTGCTCACCCTTTTCCCCTCTCAATTCTAGATTCACCTATCTTTCATAGACCCATCCAGACACGCCCACCCCAAATATCTGAATATTTTTCCCCCCATACTCTCCCCCCTCCAAAGGAATCCAACTTTCATCCCCTAATCTTTTTGTTATCCTCACAACCTTACTCTCCTTTATTCACTTTCACCTTTTTTCTTTTACAACCTCCAAAATTCACCCCCAAACCCTCTGCAATTTCTTTTAAATCACCCAAGGCAGTGTCATCAGCAAAGAGAACTGTGAAAACCCCCACTTTATGTGTGTTCTTTATCTTTTAACTCCAACCTCTGCCAAGAACTCGCATTTATTTTTCCTTAAAACCCCATCTATAAAATATATTGAAAACCACGGTGACATCACACACCTTGTCTAAGGCCTACTTTACGGGGAAAAATAATCTCCCTCTTTCCAAATACTTAACTTGACCCTCACTATCCTTGTAAAAACTCTTCCTGTTTTCAGTAACCTACCTCCTATACCATACATCTGCAACATCTGCCACATTCCCCCCCGTATCCACCCCTGTCTACGCCTTTTCAAATCCAAAAATGCCACAAAAACCTCTTTAGCCTTTCTAAATACTGTTCACTTATATCAAGATCCCCCTTTAAAAGATGTATACAGTGGCCCCCCCGTTTTTTTCGATTTTTCCGGCAATTGTAATTTCGCCAACTAGGGTTTTTTGTATAAACATGGACCGTTTTTCATAGGTTGACTCGCGATCGTATTCGTCCGGGGGACGCATGCCCAGGGCGTGACCGGGCAGCAGCCGTCTGGCATTGTTTACCAATAGCGAAGGTCCCTCATGTGCTCCAGCAAAATATTTCATAATATTCCATTTTTTTTTGTGCTTGAAATACAAATAAGCTACCATGGCCCCAAAGAAAGCCCCTTGCAACCTGGGGAAAAAAGGGTGAGAAATACGAATGAATTTAAGAAAACCATATTGAACAATATGAAGGGGTACAAGGTGGCCGAACGTCCAGGATGTATGAAACCCTAAAACCTTATGTTCCAAGGGGCCAAAGAAAAAGAAAAAAAAGGAGCTTTGTTGCAAAGGGAGTAACTTTGGCTGAAAAAAATGAATCCCCAGTACGGGAAGGGGTTTGAGAAGTTATTTTGGTGTGGATAAAAAAAAACAATTAGCAGGGGAACTTTATGACTTCGTTTTTTTGTAAAAAGGGGCGGCGGTTGCAAAAAGATTTGGTAAAAAAATTCCCTGAAAATAGGGGTGATGTGGTGAATTTAAGGCCAGAAAAGGGCTGGTTTAGAGTTTTAAGAACCACGGCATCACAGTGGGTAAGCATGGTGGGGCTGCCAGTTCGGAACCACAAGGCGGCTGAAAAAATGTGCAGGAATTCCAGGAGTACATAGAGGCTGAAGGACGAAACCGGCAAAGGTAAATTGGACAAAAAGGCCTTTTTTTTGGGAAGAAAATGCCAAAGAGGCCCTTCATTACACAAGGGGAAAAAGGGCCAATCCCAGGACACAAGCCTATGAAAACAGGCTGACGCTAATGTTCTGTGTAATGCTGGGGGGGGATTTCCCAAGTGAAGCCATTAACTAGTGTACCATTTGAAAATCCCAGTGGTTCGGAAAAAAACTATGTTATAAAGAAAAAAACTGTGTGTGTTTTGGAAATCAATAGAAAGGCATGGGTCATAGGAAATTTTCGTGGGGGTTTCAATTAAGTTTTTGGCCTAGTGTGAAGGAGTATCCCCGGGAAAAGAAATTGGATCTCAAGTGCCGAGTAAGGGGACAGTGCCCCTGCTCTCCCCCAAATTGGAGACCTTATTTTTCGAGGAGTTTGGGTTTTCATACATTAAAGTTTTTCCCCCCGAATACCACCCCTCTCCCCCAAACCCCGGGGCCCAACGGTTATTGCAAATTTTTAAAAAACTCTAAAAAAAGCAATGTTTCCGGGTCTTGACGGGTGACCACAGACACCACTTGACCCTAAGGGAATTTTGGAGGAACAATTCAGCATCCTCCATTGCATCCCTTATAGGAAATGGCTTGGGAGGGAGTGACTACCGGGACTTGAACTTGCCGGGAAAAAAAATTGTGGCAGTTGGTCGACAAGGGGATTTAAAGGGGTTTTGGGACTGACCCTAAGACCTAGTTGTTGTAAAAAATTTTGGGCACTGGGGGTTCCATGGGGTTGGTTGATTTTGGGAGGGTGGAAAAATTGGGGGGAAACCACAATGAAGAGCTCACCACTGAGGAGCTGCAAAAGCTTCAGCGGAAGAGCAAAAAACCCCGCAGCTCAGAATTTGCTGCAGAGGGGGAGGGAAAAGAGATGGAAGAAAGTGCCTTTTTGAAATTAGAGAGATTTTTTTCTTGTGGGGAAAATGGAAAGCTTTTAAAGGAAAACATCACCCTAACAAGTTGCTGCAAGCCAGGTTGGCAACATTTACAGTGACAAAGTCTTTTGGGCCATTTTAGGGGAAATGTTAAAGAGATCCGAAAAAGAGCTCTCCCACATTATTTTGCAGGGGCAGGACCCCTGCTCTCAAGGTGGTCCTAGTGGGTTAAAAAACAGAGAAGACAAGTAACCCCAGAAAACAACTGGGGACCCGAGGTGTTTTGGAAGGGGATTCCCCCCCAAACTATAAACAAAAACCCTCTCTCCCTCCTCCAGCTCCCATACACTAAGAAGAATCTCCAATAAAGGTAAGTGTTATGCTGTTAATGTTTATTCATCATTTCCCATTGTATTTTTATGTACTACATGTAAATTTTTTTGTAAAAAAATTTTTTTTTTTAAAATTTTTGGGTGTCAGGAAAGGATTAATTGTATTTACATTATTTCTTAGGGGGA